TGATACTTCTTTTAATTATCCACTATCAGGAATATAAGTATCAAAAACTAATTTTGTAGATGTAAGAAATATCATAAAGAATATAAGTGTTTCAAATTTATCATCCTTAACTATTCTATAACATATCCTTCTAATAATATTTTCCTGACTAAACAAATATAATGAAAATTAACAAAGTCCTGGTTCAACAAAATATTAGAATATTTATTATAATTATTTATGCTTTTTAGATTCAAGATCTCCATTATTTTCTAATTATTATGCAACAGTATTTTTTTTTGTTTTCATTGTAGATTTTAAAGTACTTGTTGAATTTAATCCTTAATTTGTATTATCCATAATAGAATCTTATCCAATCTCAATATTAGTATCCAAACCTGCCTTATCATTCTTATATTCTTCTTCAAAATTTTCTAATAAAATAGCCAAAAATAGATTCAAAAAAACATAATTACCAATCATAATCCAAAATACTAAATATGGAACTGTAATAAATGCAGAAACATCTTAAATCAATAAATCCCACAAAATACTATTCCAATTTTCTAATGTGAGTACTTAAAATACTACCAAAAAAGCACTCTAAATATCATCATAACTCTATCTACTTGGAGTTTTAGATAATTATCCACCAAAAAATGCCATACCTAATAAGGTAAAAATAAAAATAAATAGCAACAGCAAAATCATAATATACATAAAAGATTAAAATGCATTACCTAATACTTTAATTAAGAATCCCATAAATTGTAAACTTCTCATTAATTTAGTAACTCTCAACACTCTAAATGCTCTGAAAATTCTGACAGATCTGAATGCTGATAATGAAGATTTCCCACTTGTACCTCCTCCAAGGAAAAAGAGTTCTACTAAACTCAATGCAACTATTATAGCATCAAAAATATTCATAGTATCAGAAATATATGTTTTTGGTCCCCAACCTATTACTTTTAATCCTAATTCAATTGTAAATAATATAGTGAACCCTAGATTGAATTATGTTAAAGTATCTGCACTACTTTCTGGTAATAAACCATCTAAAGCTAAGATTACAGTATTTAATGCTACTGCCAAATTCATTGCTGCTTCAAAGTATCCAGATTATACAAAATACAACAAATGGTTTTAACATACCTTTAAAAATCCAATAAATCCTTGTAAATAAATGAAGGTTTCTCTTTTTGAATAATTTAAGGCTTTCATAACTGAATTCATTTATTTTGCAAATTTTGAATCATAAAAGGTATAATCAGCAATTAATAATACATCTTCAATAGATGCTTATGCAGTTATAGCTCCTTTACTTTCTTCAATATCTTTTTATTTAATATCTTGGAATTCTTAGTAGAAAACACCTCTTTATTGTTCTAATTCTGATGCAGGAATAAGAGCTAATTCTTATTAATTGAATTATTTATCATTTTCTACTTAACGAATTCTATTTAAATCAACTATACAATCAGAACTTTCTATAAATTTCTCTCCTATTTATTAAAAATCTAATTTTTCATTTTATTCTTATTCTTTTTTTTTCTTTTTTATTTTAATTTTTTAACTTGCACTTCCATTTAAATTATTATTTTTTTCATTATTTAAATCTTCAGGTTCATCATCAGAATCTGAATTTTCATTTGCATTTTCTTAATTTTAATCATCTTAATTTTCAAAATTCTTATCTGTTGGAAATTATAGATCTTCAAATGGATGTAATTCATCCATAATTGGTTATACTCTTCTTAAACTTAAATTATTTTTCTTAGATTTCATTCCAGATTTTAAATAACCAGATTTAGTCATACTTTTACTTTTACCAGAACTAGATTTTTTCAATTCTAAAGATTATTTTGAATTTTTGAAACAATATGTAATTTTAATATCCATTTCTTTAATTTTCTCTTCTTATTCTAATTTTTCTTTTTCCAATTATAATAACATCTTAGAAACTAAAACATCATTTACACTACAAAATTCTTAATCAATTATTATTATTGGATAAAACTTTGTATTGAATAATTTAGATTTCAATTTTAAAGATGCATCATCTAAATGTTGTTAAGCATTTTTATTTAAATCTCTTAATCTTCTATTTTCCATTCTTTTTTATCTATTAAGCTCTTTTAAATTTTATTTTTTTTTCTTTTCACTCTCTGAATCTGCATTCTTATCTTAAACAAAAATATCCATTTCTTCTAATCTTTAATCTAGATCATCATCTGATATTGTATTTAACTCACTTAAATTTACACTATCAAATTCATTTTAATCTAATGACTTTTATGAATCAGGTTTTGGTGAATTTCTTGGAGGTTTCTAATATTTCATACCTGCCACTAAACTAAATTTTTAATTTGATTTCACATTCTAAGATTATTATTTAACTATAAAAATTATTATATATAATAAATACTATCTCCTAATTTAGGGATTTCTAATTGATTATTAGTTGGAGTTCTATCTTATCTTGATCCACCACTTTTACTACTATCCATAGATCCTCTATGATGAACAATCATAGTTCCTCCATTTAATGGTCTAATATTTTCACTTTATAAATCAATCATTGGAGAATTCAAAAATTCTGAACTTATTTATTGATCTCCAAATTATATACTTTTTCTTGGAATTATTTTATTAGGTCTACTTTAACTTTAACTTTCATTTTCATTAATATTATTTTTATCTTCTTTTTTTGAAGAAGTTCTTTCATCATTATTACTACTTTGACTACTTCTTCTTACTACACTTGATCGATTATTATTATTTTAACTACTTAATCCTTAATTCTATTAATTCAATTTACTCTAATTACCCATCCCATAAATTCCTTCTATTTTTAATTATTTATTTTTTAATAATATAGGATTACTGTAATACACAGCAGATTTAATAGGTTGAAAACTTACCTTATTTTTACCTCTCAGCTTTTTCAAATTTGTTGATTTAATCATATTTAACTAAGAAGCTCCTCTTCTTGAATTCTTTCTTCTATTCATAATTGCATTTTAATCAAAATCATGATGTTTATCCCATGTTATACCATAACCCTCAGTATCTACTTTAGATCTCTATGGATCATATAATTTTAATTATCTAAGTTATCTATAATCATATTCTTCAATTTCTTCTTTAATTTAAGCTAATTCCTCTTGAATCTTTTCAGGCTTAAAATTTAATTTGATAATAGCTAATGTAAGATTAACTAAAAAGAATGCTCCAACAATAACAACAATTATAAAATATAAAACTACAATTTGAGAAAAAGTAAGCATTACTGCTGTTTATATTTAAGTCCATCCTTCTAATGTAGTTATAATGAAAACCTATAAAAATGAGTAACCAAATGTATCAAAATTAACCAAATCATTATATGGATTAGCTATTTGTTTTCCACAAATGAAATTCTCATTAAATATAGTATCTTCTGGAAATGGACAATTATTATCATCAGAACAAAATAAAATCTCTTCAGAAATCCATGTTATACCACTCATTTCACCTATACATCTTCTTTTCAAATATCCAGAAAATAAAGAAACTCCTGCAATTGCAAATATTGAATAAAAGAATATTAGAACAACTACAGCATCTCTCAATTAAGCTATTGATGCAAATAATGCTAATAAAATTGTTCTTAATGCTTTTATTGAAGAAACTGTTCTTAAAGGTCTTAGAACTCTAAATGATCTTAAGGCATTCAAATTAACAGAATTAGATGCCAAAAAGTAAGGAATGTAGGCAGTTACAATTACAGAAAAGTCTAGGATGTTCCATGTGTCTTTTAAATAGGCTTTTTTAGGTAAAATAAATCCCTGAATAATTATAATAATTTACTAATGCTACTATTTTCAACACTGCCTCTGCTGTATAATAGGCCAAAAATACAATATCGGTTAAATCTTAGAAAGATGTTTAGTCGTTAGTGGTTGGATCATCAATAGCAAGCATTGCTGAGTTGAAAATGATCATTAACAAAGTCAGAAATTCAAATAGTGGATGTGTAGTGATTTTTTAAGCATAAGATGAGATCAGTTTTGTAAATATTAAAATCTATTTTCGAATGGCTAAAAAGGGATATCTAAATAATTATCATCTCCATTACTTATCACTGTAAATGTAAGCTAATTATAATTCATTTTTGGGAATTAGCTTAATGTAAGAATTCACTTTCACTTTAGTTTCTAAATATGATTGACCAAATTCTTCATCTAAGTCTTCTAAAATCTCTTATTTCTGATTCTCATTCATTACAGCAAAACTTTGTTCTTCTTATTAATTCACAGTAGATTGTCCATCATGCATAAGTTCCTGAACTTTTTTTAAAATTTCCCTATTCTACTTTTGGACATATTCACCATATTTCTAAAATATATTTTAACTATACCCCATCTTCACTAAAAGAGTCTCTATCTTCAAAGTATATTTCCTTATCTTAAATCGCAGATAAACGCTATTTTAAAGTCGTAGTTACTGCTACTTCTTTTGACATATATATATATATATATTAATTATTATTATGTATCAACAAAATAAGAATTTCTTTAAATGTAAAATTCATATTGTTATTAAATATAACTTCAAAATATCTAGAATGAAATTACAATCTATTATTGAATTCAAAGCAAGAATACAATTCAAATATTATATACTTATTTTTTTCTATTTTTAGAAATTATTATATACTTAAATAATAAATTTAAGAGACAAAAACATAACACATATAATAATTATATGTTTATCATAGAGTATTCATAATTTAATTGTAATAATAATTGTTTCTTAACTTATAAAAGTTATCATAATTTAAACAACAGAAAAGATTAATTATAAATAAATTATAGTCTTTTGAGAACGTTGAAAATAAAATGAATATATTGTTGTAATTAACCTATAAGTGTATCACTAATCATCATTCAAATTATAAATTCTATATATAATATATATATATATATAAATAAGATTATAATTTATGATTAGAATATCTCACAAAAACTTATTATTAATCAAATAATAATTTCAATTACTTCCAAAGTCTCTTTTGGATATGTTTTTATTAATGATTTTATTATTTTTAAAACATTTTCATCACAAAATTCCTTCCAAAATTATGGTCTCTTCTTGCTAGTTTTCAAAATTCGTTTTAATGCTTAATAAGTTGATTATTTATTAATATATAGTGACTAATTTTTATTTAATTCTCTTAATTATGTTCTATATAAATTTATATCCTTAATATAATAATAATCTTATTTTGCTATTATTTATTATAACAATTATTTTAAATATGTTGAAGCAATCTATTTAGAAGCTTAATTTATTTTCAAATAGCATATCAATTCAGTCCATTAATTTGTTTGTAATTTCTCTGCCATTTGAACCTAATATATAGTTGTAAAATAGATTTACATTAATTTTTGTCGCATTTAACAAATATTTAATAATTTAAAGGTACAATAATTAATTCTTCTTTTCCATTAATCCTATTAATAATTAAATTTATGATTCAATCTCACTTTTCATTATATCCCTCAATTTATCAAGTGGCAAATTCTTTTATTTTAAACGACCTTATTGTTAATCACTTATATCAATATTACTTAATACATCATAAATAACCTAATTTATTACAATAAGTCTTACTTATAAATCTAAAAAGAGTTAATTCTAATTAAATACAGTCCATAATTCATCATTAACATTTTTACCATTAATGTAAGTTAATAGTAATATACTTGAAATACCTTTACCCTTGAAGTCAATCATTTATAAATAATCAACTACTACATTGATATTTTTAGTTGATTTTGCTAAATTGTAAAATTATTTAGATAATTAAAGTAAATATTAAAATTCTCTTTTACCTTTTTAATATAATTCATTCTAAACTTTAATCCCTTTTTGAAGCCATGAAGAATAGGATTTTATTAAATCATACTATTCTACTTAGAGATATTAAGTTGGTTTTGGAGTTGGGAATGCTATTTATCTACATTTTTTAGGTTAAGTGATTATAGGTTGTTATTTTTGTAATTCTTAACGTAATAAAATAGCTTCATATGGATCATAATCATCTCCATATTCTATTGGGATTTCATCAAAATCATAAAATGGTTCTAATTTATTCTTTTCATCCATAGATTCTGTTTCAATTTTTTCTGATAATTAATTATTGTCTTTGATAAATACATCCCATGCATATTCAAATGTTTCACTCTTCTTATTTTTTTGAAAAATGATTAATTCATCAATAAAGATTCTATTAAACATATTCTAATTTGACAATTTCCATAATTACTTAATATCTTCAATTTATGAAAGTGTTTCATTAATATCTTTTTAACAATTCTATAAAAATTAAAGATATCTCAATAGTAATTGAGAATATTATTTATAATTTATAGTTTCACTTAAAATATCAAAAATAACAGTTGGTACTTAATTGAATATATAAAATAATTAAGGTAGTCTAGTACTTTAAATTTTTTATAATTTTTAAACTATTTATGTTGCTGTTTTACTTTTAATTTTTTCAATAAATATTTTATCCTTAATAGATCTATAATCATATTCACTACCTAATATTGCTTTATGATTTTTTAATAAAGTTTTTAATAATTTTTTTGCTGAATCTGTAATAATAGGTTGATTTTATTAAATAATTGTTATTAATTATGGTATAATTGTAAATTTAATTGATGGATTTTAATAAGCTTATAAAGTAATTCCTAAACAATCTAAACTATTTACTAAATTAATTTATTATTCTGATAACATTGATTTGAATTTTTAATTACGTTACTTAATATCTTAAAATATATAAGATTTCATTTGATTATTATCTTGATTTAAAATAGACATTAATTTTGTCATCATAGCTTATGATAATGTCATTTTTTATATATAAACTTATAAATTACTATAATTATTTTAAGTAAATGTAATTGTATGAGTCAATAAAGTATAAATTTATTCTATGTAATTTAAGGGTATTATAATAAAGTTATTTCTTTTTTAAATGGTTCGATATTTAAATATTTCTATTTGTTCAACATTAGGTTTATTAAAAATGATTCCAGTAATAGCATATCCTTAAGTAACAGTTATACTAGTAGGTCCAATTTATAATTATTAAGGAGTTGCTAATACACTAGGAGCTAAACAAAAATTTTATAAAGGACTAAATAAATGAGATGATTGTTTTAATAAATTTAATTCAAATCTCTCTTTTAATTAATTAATCAATTAATCTTAATTTTCATTTTTTCTATCTACACAAAGTTATGTGGCATTATCTTTAAGATTTAAACAAGCGGAAATTAATTATTTATTATCAGCTACAGCTAATGCATAAAAATTATATTCAGGATCCTTTAGAAGACAATATCCTTCAACAAAATTATCAAAGATTTATTAAACATAAACATTGCCTTTATTATTAATTTCAATAATAAGTAATCTACCACTATGAAAATTAACTTATTAATTAGTTTAATTTTATTTTTATGCTAAGACTGCAAATTTTAAATGGTTTTTATTTTAACTAATAAATTATGGAGATGCTAATAATCCATCCAATTATTAAGATATTAATAATTCATCTAATCTTACAATATTAATAAATGTTTTATCTTAATAATTACAAAGAAATGATGCCCCATTTTTATATGAAATAAGCAAAATTGAAGTATTGTTAATCTTAGATAAACAATAAGGTGTTTTATCTCTGCTTTTCCCTTTGAGTTAATCATCTAAATTAACTTTCTCAGATATTGCAATCTTAGGTTGTCCTTCAACTAATTTCTATTGATAAATATCTCCTTATAAATCAACACATAAGATTGTTCCATTTATTACACAAAAATCTTTGATTTTCTTTTCTTCTATATTTAAATTATAACATTATTAATTCTAAGAATTTATATTAAATGTATATATAGAATTATATGCTAACCAACCAAATGAATTTTAATTAATCCATAAAGTTTTGCTTATAGGATGTGAAAAACGAGCAATTACAGTTTTATCATTTTGTACAGTTCCATCTTATTTAAGTTCAATTAGATGGATTTCTAATAATGCAGATACTAGAATTTATTTTTAATTATATGGATTAAATAAAATAGTTGAGACAGGTGGTCTACAACTTATTTTAGTATATGGTAATTATAATCCACTTGTTCTTTTTTCTAAAAGTGAAAAATATTTGACTTTATTGAAAATCTTCATTTCACTATGACCTACAACAGCTATAAAATTATCTCCTTCATCTATTACTTTTCTTATTTAAAAGGCTACATAATAAATTTATAATTTTGATTATATTTATTCTTATTAAGTTCTTAATTCATTCAAAACATCAATATTTTCTGTTTTATGTTATATTATATTATTAGATGAAACTAAGGTTGTTATTTTTTAAATATTATGAAGAATTTTAGATTATAATTCATATTCTTATTCTTCAACATCAGTTTATTAATTAGATTCTAAACTCTTATAATTTTGAATTGTAAAATTGCACATTTAAATCAATTTATCAAATAAAAGTTCAAAATTAATTTTAAGTTTTGAAAAAAACTTTGAATCTTATTATGGTCTCATTTAATTTTTTATTTCTTTAGGTTCAAATTAATTTGGTTCAATTTCAATTATTGAATTACTACTTGATTCATATTTTTCAACAACATCATTATTTGATTCTTCATGATATTACATTTATGAACTAGATAAAGAATCTTCTAATTCTACTTCTGAATCAAAATCTTAAAAGTTATCTTTTATTCTACCTGCATATTCTCTTATATGAGGATGCATTTCTAAATCTTTAAATTCTCTATATTCTCTAATCTCTCTTTCTCTTCTTAAATATTCTACCAAAACTCCAGATGTAGTTGTTGTTGAATGTGGAAACAAAGGTCTTCTATTTAATTAAGGTTATATCTATTATTTTTATCTTTATTAATTGCATTTTTTAGTTTAATTACATTCACACATAGATTCAATCATATTTTCATATTGAATTTAATGATTTTAATGACAACTAAAAGCACAACTAGCACAACATTATATATTCTTTTTATTATTATTAGAACATTAAATACAAGTGTAAATTTATTATTAAGTATTTTATATAGTACAACCAGTAGGAACAAAATTCTCAGGTATTAATACTTCTTTTAATTATTAAACATCAATATTTGTCTAAATTTATAATTATCCATTCTCATTCATTTTTATTATACTTATTAATTAGAGACAATATTCTATCATAGTTTAAGTTATTTATTGACTATTGATTATAATATCATAAGATAATTCAAAAAATTCATTTGTTAGTTATATTTTATCAAATTTACTAATAAGTACTAATATATGTTGTAATTTTTAATCAAAAAATTTATCCTAATTTTAAATTGATTTTAAACAATTTATTATTAATTGATATGGAATCTTATCAAATAAATCAAATATTAAACTATATTCTGCAGATTAACCAAATTAATATACATTAGTAGCTAAATTAATGAATTCCTATTTTAAATCCTAATTTTTATTTAAATTTTTTTAAATTCCTATCAATACTAAATTAATTGCATCTTATAATTAATTATTTAAACAATCTTCTAATTTCTTTTCTATTTCCATTGATTACTTTTTCTTCTTCTATTATTTTATAGGTTTCACTAATGTTAATACTAATTATAATAATCCAGCACAACTAAATTCTACTATCAATTTATTTATACACATTTCATTTTATTCACCCATTCCATCTATAAAATTATTACTAATTCCACAATGTAAACTAATTGCTATCAATAAAGCTAATAATTCAAATTAACTTTTTTGAACTTATTAATATCCTAATTTTAAGAATTCATAATTATCTTATATTTGTAATATTAATTAAAATTTATGAACTGCCATTTATAATTTAGTTATATTACTAATTTATTATTAAACATTTTATTAGATACTCAAAATATCATATTATTTCCATAACAATGCATAATATTTATATTTACATAACTTACTTAATTCAACAACAACCATTTTTATTAATTTTACATTATTTTTTTCATTTTTAAATATTTGTATTATAGCTGTTGCTAATTAAACTTTCTGTAATTTCTTTAAAGAATCCCAAATTATATCACTCTCTATTAGATTTTATTCAAAAAGCATATTTTATACTCTTTCATTAACTAATAGAGAATGTTAAATATTAATCTTTATATCACTTAATTATAATAATCTACTTATTTAAACTGCTAAATATAAGTTTTTTTGCATTCCTAAATATATTGTTTCATAACGTTTTATTTATTTATCTAATTATTCAATTAAATTTTTTCCATGTTCTTATATCTATTTATAATATTCTTATTCTTATCCCTCATTTAAATCTCCCATTTCACTTGATCTCTCTGAAATTTCTTCTCCATTTTTTTTTCTATTAATGAAATTATCCTATAATAAATAATTTATTTTTAATAACATAACATAAAGTTGTATTTCAGTCTCAGGTTTACCTTATTCATATTATTGAATTGAATTTAGTAACATATTATAATTTACAGCTTTATTTCTAGTACACATAGATTTGTGTATGATATCAAAAAGTCTTAAAAATTCTGATTCATTTTAATCTGTAAAATACATTACAACATAATAGAATCCTTAAATTATTTAAGATTATTTATTATAAGCAATTTATTTCAAGAAATTACTTATATTATTCCATTCTCTATTTAGAATTTATCCTATTCTTTAATTAATTTAAGGAGATTATGTTGTTTCCTATCCTATTATTACTAAAATATCATAAAATGATATATTCTATTCAGTTTCAATCAATTATTGAAATTATGATAACAATTTCATTTTTCTTTTTATGTTCAAATTTTAGAATGAATATAAACTAAACATTTAAACTAAACAGATTTCATTAAGTTAAAATCTTAAACATTATTCTTATAAAGGATCTAAAATAATAGATTTCTCCTAAATAATTAATATAACATGTAAAATCACATATTAATATGGTGATATAGATTTATTCAATAATTTCTCAAATAATTATTCAAATTATTCTTATTTAATCAATTAAATTAATAAATATATAATGGATAAAGGATTTGAGTGTTTTTAAATTTCTTATTTTACTATATTTTCTGGATTTTATTCAAATATTACTATTGCATCAATAATAAAATTATTTAATTATTTATCTTTACTTTATAATAACACTGCTCTCAAATATTCATAATTCAAATTAAATTTCTAATTATTAGATATCCTTTTTAAAATAATTAATGCTCTATCATAATCAATTTATTATGAATTTACTATCACTGTTATTAATTTAGGTATTTATGAGGCAATATCTAAAGAATGATTTTAAAATATTAATTAAGTAACAATGTCTAACTTTTCATTATCTAATTCTTTGAGATTTAAGAATAATTAAATTTATTGTTCTTGAGGTAATATTTATAATTTGCTTTTGCAATCAAAATCTAGAGTTCCATTTTTTATAAATTTAGGTATATCAAATTTTAATGCACTAAGATCTAAGACCATTAAAACAACTTCTGGATATTAAAAAGTTAAAAGATATTCTGATAGCTCCTCTATAGATAATAGATAGTTTTTTAATAATTATTATAAACTTTTATTTGAACTAAATTAAGTGTATAAATATTTACAAAATTGAAGTTTTTAAATTAAGATTGAAATGCTAATCCACAATTTCTATATCCTTTATTTCTATATTAGGAATATTAAATATTTTTTTTTTCCAAAATGTAATTTTGATAAAATTCGCAAATTATTTTTTTAAATATTCATCTTAAAATTCTGATTTTATGATAAATTTAACAAAGTCAACAATTATCTCACATAAAGTTTATGAATCACAAACTAAAATATATATATTTAATACCTTAAGGTTGGTCCATTTCAAAAAACTATATTAAAATAGTAATAATTTGCTATTAAACAGTCAATTTGTGATTTAGAGGATTTGATATTGCTAATAATAATAATATATAATTACCATTATGTAAATAGCGAATTAGAATACTTTAATATTGTTTTAATGAATCACCTGATTTAAGCTTTTCCAAAAATTTATGTAATTATCGCTATTGGAAATTTAAATAGATATAATTACTTTAAAAGACAGTCTCTATTCAGATTAATGAACATTCTAGAATAATAATAATAAATACAGATATTTGCTAGCTAATTTCTACAAGACACTCTACTATTGTATTTTTCATGTATTAATTAATAAATTATAGAAATTAATATAAATGATATAAATTAAATCAAAACAATATCATTAACAAAAATTCATCTCAAAAATAAATATAATATCATTATTTCAATTGAAATAATATCATTCATTTCTATTTAATTATAGAAATAGGAAATTTTTATTTGAATACATGTAAATATTAATAAATATTCTAGAACTAAACATTTACTTTCATCTAATCAATTATATTTATAATCAATTATATAAGAATTTTTAAGGTAGTGTTAATAATTCTAAGGCAATTAAAGTTAATTCATATATATACATACATATATTGAGTATAAGAATCCTAATTAGTTGAAAGGAATGAATTACCATCTAATCTCGAACATTAAAATAGAATGATTGTGAAAATCATGTAATATATAAATGAATTGCCTATAGAAACGAGCAAGGCAAGCTCAATTAATATAAACTGAATAATCCATATAATTATTTAATAATATTTAAGTGTCAAAAAAGTGTCTAACTAAAATTAATTTTTGATTTACTTGATAATATTGAAAAAAATTATTTTAAAATATTTAAGAAGTATTAATTGAAATATTAAATTATGGAGTTAAGAAAATGATATTAATATTAAATATTATCATCTACTTAAAAAAAAGAAACAATTAAATTTATTAGCAATAATTATTTAATATAAGTAAGAGTAATAAACTTAAAAAACACAATTTGAAAGAATGATAGTTATTTTTAATACTATGTATATGAAGATATAAAATATTAAATTAAAATCAATAATTTTATTATTTTGTATTATTATATTTATTTAAAATATTGGAATTTATTAATATATAATTTCAGTGCTTAATTGAATTTCTAATTATGAGTATGATATTATGTTTAATTGAACAATAAATAATATTGGAAATATGAGAATTTATTAATATGTACAATTAAAGATAGGGTTCTATTAATTCTTTTTGAATATAAATGTGAATCATTGTTAATTACTAAAAGTATTTATCATTTAATACTTTTACATATATAATTATTAATACTTTGTTAAAAATAAGCTATTATATATATATTATATAAATTTGATTAGTTTGAAAAAAAACAATAGGTTCTTTTAAGGTTATTAGTAAATTAGTAATTATTTAAAGGGAGAAAGTTGTTATTATTTTTATTTGTAAAGAAGATAAAGGTTCAAAAAAGTTCTAAAAATTATTAATTATTTTTATATGCATCAAAGACATTCTAAACTTTTTGAATCTGGTGGTGAGACTGTTAAGAGGAACTTACTAGAATCTTATTCAATGTAGAATCGTAAACCAAATAGTAATGAGGATTAGTAGTTACGTGAGTAAGTAGAGAGATTAACAAATGAATTAATAAATTTGAAGAATAAGGATTAAGGAAAGGTTTGTATTGATAAATAGATATAATGTGAAGATAAGAGATGGGAATTATTAAATGAGATAATAAAATAGAAAGACAAATCGATTGAACAATATGAGAAATAGATAATGAGCTTTAAGAATATGTTTTTATAGAGTAATTAATAAAAAAAGGAATTGCTTTAAAAGTTAGAGAAATAAGATCCAATGAGAAAAAGTTAAGTGATTTAAATATCTCAAAATACTCAAACTGATTTTAGTAGAGTTTCTTAATTATAATAAACAGAAATTGATTTGGGAATAATCTTTGGTGTGAAATAGATTGAATCAACAACTAAGATTAAATAATAAGAATCAAAATAAAGTTAGACTGAAGCAAAATTCTATAATGAAATTGCTTTATTAAATTAAGATGAAATATATAAGGAAATTGAATAATATAAATTAATTCTTAGGGAATATGATTTAGAGAATAGGAAATTGAAGACATTATTATAATCAAATAAAGAAAATATGAATATGGAAACATAAACTACAATAATGATGGATGATAAGAGTGTTCAAATAGAAGATGAATATATTGAATAGATGGAAAAAGTAGTTTAAGAGTATTAAAAATAAATAGAGAATTAAAAAATATTGCAAAAATAATATAATTAACAATAAATAGATATGAATATATTGAGAAAATAGTATGATTAATTAGTAAATGATTATTACTTTATATAATCTGAAAGTAAAGTGAATGATAAGAAAATAAATGAGTTAAATGAAGAAATAGAATAATTGAAATATGAATTATAGTCAAAGGATCCAAGTGTAAGTAGTGCTGAGACTGTGACATCTCCAAAAGATTCTTAAAGAAGTTTTAAGAAAAAAATGAATAATTAAAAAGTAAAAAATAGTGTTTAAAAAACTTATTTTAATCCTTAGAATATTGATGAATTAATTTTAATATAAGAGGAGAATTAGAAATTATTAATTAAGATATCAGAAATAAAGAAAGAATTAGTAGAGACATAAAAAAGTTTAAAAGCAATTTAAGAAGAATTAGCAATAAAAGAATAGATCTTATTTAATTAAAATTAAGAATTATTATATAATTAATAAGAATTAAAGGAGATTAAGCATAAAATAGAATCAGTACATTAATTGGAATAGAGATTATAAGAATAAGAATTGAAATATACAAATGAAATTCACAAATTATCTTAGAAATTAGCAATCTTGAATTCTGATTATTTGGGAATGAAAGTTATTAACCAAACTTTACATTCTCAATTAGATAAATGTTAGAACAGATTAAAATAATAACAATCACCATGATTACTTATAAATTTAATTATTAATGTAATTAACTATACCATTACAATTGGCAGAATCATAATATACAGGTATGCCAACTAAATCAAGTCATTCATGCAAAGCATAATCAATGAAGAGTCCAAATGTGAGTGCTTTCTCTTTCAATAATATATCTTAATAAGCTAAATCAGATTCTCAATCAAATCATTAAATTATTGAATCTTCAATTAGTAATACAATTAATTATACTATTGAATTTAATTCAACTTCTCCAATATAAATATAATGTGAGAATTGTCATACATATTGTAGTTCATTAGTTATTGTGGAAACTACTATATACACTTATATATCAGCATTAATCTTGACCTTAATTTGTCTTTGTTGGATACCTTTTGTTTTGAAGAATTACTTTATGAAAATCACTCATTTTTGTTCTGCTTGTGATAGAATGATAGGATAGTATGATTTTTTAAATACTTAATTAAATAAAATATAATGATTTTGCAGTTAATGTTTATGTTTCATTAACAATATAAATTCATCTTAAATCAAAATAACAACAATTCAGCAAATCTAATTAAAGATGGAATCAATCCCCCATTTATATAATAAAACAAATATATTCCAACTTTATTATAATTAACAACCACCTCTTTATAATATGTGAACATAGAATCAAATCCAAAATATGATAATATCTAAAAATATCCATATAAAAATAGTAAATTTATTACATATGAAAATATATCCAACAATTTGAAATTAGCTATAATAACATATTATATAATACGTTTAAATCTTAATGGTTAAATAAAGAAAAACCAAGGACCTAAGAAAATAGCAATAAATGTAGCTATTGGTATTTAAACTATTCCTGCATACATCATAATAAAACAAACTTGAATCACTAATTCAACCCATAACCATTCTGCCACACTTTCTTTACGAGGTAATGTATATTATCCAAAAATCCATCTCCTAGAAGTATATATAATCATCATATAAATTATTATTATGACCAACATTATTGTAAAATATTAATTAAAATAATCAAATTATTAGTTATCTATATAACTTATAATATTAGGTATAAAACATAAAGTAAATCCCATAAATATTTCAATTATTGATTTATGTGCAACCATTGAATTGCATCTACCCAATTCATTTTTATCATCATTAAATAAATTGAAATGCCATCTACTATAAACAGATTTTATAGCAAATATGGCACAACTAAAAATTACCAATACATAAGGTAAACAATAATTCTATATAGTCAATGTTGAACTTTTAGTTAATGGTATATATAGAGTTGAACCAGAATGAATGAATTCATCATTTGCCATTAATGCTTTAATACTTGCTTCTCCTACTTATAACAACTTATTAGTAAGTATATTTGAATCATCTTTATTTTAAGTATTATATCCTCTTAATGTTAATGAATAAATTCCATATTTCATAATATAAGAATGAGCTTCATGTAAATCTCCTTAAAACATTTCAATTTAATTTGAAAAATAAGGATCCATATATAATAATCTTTCTTAAGGTATCTAATAAATTGAATCTAATTATAATAATTTCCAAAATGTTCTTATTTCCTTTTCTAAGTACTTTTCAAATTATTACATCCAATAATAATTAGTTTCTGTAAATTAATAATAAAAATTCTGTCTCTCCATAATTTTATTAATACTATTATAATAATCTCTATCTGACACTTTACCATTTAATCCAAATACTTTCAAAGCAACAGAATCAAATTTATCATCAAGATTAATATTAATGGATGATCTAATAGTACCTGATCTAGGCATAAAAGATATTTCTTGAGGATTCACATATTCTTCTAAAAATGCTGTGATTCCTTATCCATATCTTTTATATTTTGAATGATAACCTACAAATATTAAATCTCTTGATAAATAATTGATTTCTAAGAATAATAATATATTTTAATACAATCTGATTAAAATAGCTTAATTAATGATAACACATATGCAATACTTCTAATTTTTATATTAGGAGATTCATCATTATATTCAAATGATATCAAACTACATTCATAATCTGGACTTCTTGGTGCTTTCAATTTTGCTATTACATTATTATACTTCTATTAATAAAATGTCTCCAAACCAAGATTACTTAGTTTTTACATCAATAATGAATGAATATCACTTGTATTACTAAATTCTTTCATATATTGTTCAACAGCCAGACTTAATGTTTAACTTAATTATTTATTGACCTCTACATGAATTAATTGACTTCCATCAAATGAATTTCTATCTGAATTTGAAGATACTACAAAGAGTAGATATATTCCATAGATAAATGTAAATGGAAATATTATTATCAATACTTTCCAAAGTTTCCATTTAATTAATAATTGATATCCTAAGTCTTTAAACATATTTATATTAATAATTGAGTTTATATTTAAGTAAAGTCAATAAGCCTTTTATTTCACTCTCAATAAATGTCTAAATTGATCAAGTTTACTACTAAAATCATCCAATCTTGATGATGATTTAGTGTTTGGAATACTTATTTTATCATTATTCGACATAGCAGGAGTACTTATCTTATTATAATTAGACAATGCTGAACTTGGTCTATAATTTGATCTATCCAATTTAAATGAATTCAATGATAATTATTAATCCTTATTTAATAATTTCCTTTCAAAATCTTTCAATTATTTCATGAATCCAGAATTTGGACTAACAATCCTTCTTTTGCTTTATATATGAAGCATTGTCTAATTAACACTCCAATTGTATTTTTGCATCATATATGCAGCTACAATTGCAGCAGATCTAGATATTCCAGCATAACAATGTATCAATACATTAGTTTTTTTACTTTAATTCTCTATAAATCTTATACTTTAATCAAAGTATTTATGTAAAGGAAAGTCTTCTGAATCCTCAGCCATAATCCACTAAATTTATTGATAAAATATTTACTAATTTTTAGGCTCCTTATACAGGAACAGATTAATCTAATATTTACAATACAGCTCCAATTTTATGTTATTGGAGTAATTGAGAATCTTAGGCTGCATCCACATTTCCTAAGTATATACCTCCACAACCATTAAGTGGAGCAATTATACAATTCATTGGCAAGCAATAGTTATTAACGAACATATTTTAATAAACAAAATTAATTATATAATTTAAGATATTAAAATAAATAGTTAAATGGTATGATTGAATTATAATTTTGATAAATAAATTTAGATAATTTAAAATTTTACTAAATAAATTCATTAAACAACAACAACTTTTTATTGGACTGTTTTCTAAGTTTCATCTTCAGCTTCTGGTAATTTAGATCCCTTTTTAATTTGTTTATTTAATTTTCTTCTTCTTATAAAAACTATAAATATAATTATGATTATAGATGTAACAATTACAACTATTATTTTAACAGCTTCATATACTATAAAATATAAATTTTTAATATACAAAATTCTTAATCGACATTTTTAGGAGGATGTCTGGTTTTCAATGTATTATTTGATTAATTTAATTCTTTTAAAAACCAATCATCAGCAGTAAAATTATGTTTAAGATTATCTGAGGAACAATTACTTCTTACAAAAGTTAAAGTTTAATTTTCTTTGTCAAAACCTATATCCCAATTTCTCATCCATACCTAACCTAAAATCATTCTAACATTTCCAGAATATTCTGCAACAGGTAAACAATAAGCATCATGTTATTCCATACTTTTAGTTAAATAATCTTTTGGTGTCCAATCAAATATAAAATTATTATCCATTATAAATTAGTAAGTTGGAAAAAATGAAATAAATTATTCATATGATCCATGAAGTGTTTTATTATAAATATAGCATGCAATATCTTCAAAATATTACATTTTAGGACAATTAGGAGAATCACATACAAAAAAATTAACTAATGCTTTTGTTACATCAGGATGAGCATTAACAAGTGTAGATCCAGAATCTACAAAAGAACCTCCTCCTGCTTATAAATCTGCACCAGCTAATATGGTTTTATTATGAACTCTAATTTGTGAAATCTTAATACCATAAACTGGTTTATTATTAGTATGAAAGTATTTAATTGTATAATAAGCACTATTTTACTAATGTCTATTATAATCATATTATCCTATTGTCATAAAACCATCAATTCTTCCTATGCAAATAGAAAAGAATAATTTCATTCCACTATGTTAATTATAAATATCATCTACAATATTAGGAAATGCAAGAGTAGTGTTTGTCTTTGGAGACAATCCCATTATACCATTAGCCTATTAAGTTTTGAATAAATTTGTTTCTCTAGTAGTACATCCAAAAACACTCCTCACACTACTATCCTTTTTTGAGATTGTTTCATTAGAAGATGCCTTAGCCTCCATCAATAAATCCCCAAAAATCACTTGATCATTTACATAAAACCCTTCTAAATGTGATCCTTCAGAATATGAAATTGAAAAAATGCATTATTAATTTGAACATCTAAGACAGGTGCATTCTCCAAATTAGCTTTTACAATTTAAATCTTCATATGTTGATGAATTCTTTCTATTATAATATTAATCTAAATGATTTCCGCATGATAAATTTGAATCACAAGCATCACAAGGAAAAGCTGTTATTGAGCTTCCAGTATCTATTATAACAGATTGTCTTTATGGAGGATTGCCAACATATATGTTAACAAAATAATATCCTAAATCTGAACTTCCATAAAGGATAGAAGTGTGGATAGGATCATCATCTTATCCCAGTACTTAAAGTAATTAGATTATATAAATGAAAAACATATAAAATTAAATGAATAAATATTCTTAAAATTTACACAAAATCTCATTATATATCATCTCATTTTCTAATCAGTATCAAATTGTAATATACATTAACAACATAATTTATATAAATATTATTATTATCATTATATTAGAATCTTATATATCTATGGAAATAATATCTAAAATAGTAATTTTCTTATTTAATATGATAAAAATATCACATTATCATTTGATTAAAAGAAATTAATGATTGATAATATTGTACTAATAAAAAATTTATCATTATTATGTTAAGATATCAGAATCTCCTGCATCAATGATGGCTAAACTTGAGCATCTGTGTAATTTACCACAGGCGGTACCTAAAATAAGATAAAATCACTCATGCCCATAAACTCAATTAGGAAGAGCTAAGCCTCCCAATTAAACCCCCGTACCTAAATCAACGTTGTTTCCTTAATATAAAACAATGGTAATCTAAGCCAACATGGCATAGTATTCAATTTATGTCTTTCTGATTGTTGGACAATTGTTTGAAATGAATACAAGCTTGGCAGTTCCATTTCTAATGGACTTCAAGGTTTATTTGTAACCCATGGTGATCTTTCCAGATCTTACAACCAATTAGAGTTTTTAATTAACACTCTCTTAAGCAACATTCTTGACCATTTTAAAATTAATTTAAAAATTTTAATATCATATTTTTCCAATAATTGCTCTTATTCTCTCCAAATCCACGTCTTCTATTTAATATTATTGAACTTCTTCCAATGTTTACAAAGTTTTTGGACTTGTTCCCACTTTTACTACTAAGTATGCTTAAGCCTTGCTTCCATGAATATACATCTTTATCTCTTCACTTGATTATTTCTCATGTAATTTAATTAATTCACTACTATTAATAAAACATGATCCCAAAATTTCTCTTTCTGCTCCTGAATTAAGAACTCTGAATTCCAAATTACAATTATCTTCTAATCCTACACTAAAACAATAATTATAATTTGGATTGCTTTCTCTTACTTAAACTGGAGTTCTAAAAGATTAATCACCAAATAACATTTAAATAACTGGATTAGGAGCTTTGTTTTAATTTAACAAATGCAAATTTTAAGCTCTTACTATTTGTATTACAATTTCATTTATTTATTGAACTTCAATATTCAAATTAATTTTTGATAAGAATACTGAAAAGTCAAAATGATTTAAATATTTATAAGCATTCTTATCAAATACATTTGGTTTTGTAAATAGAGAATAAGATTTCTCACTGAAATTAACTATATAAAATGAATCTAACAATTATTTTGCTTTTTTTTCATCCATAAATCCATTATTAGATAATTTATATACTTCTTCTATTAAATCCCATGTTAAATTTTACTCTGATAAAAAGAAATTTTATTTATTAAAGTGATATCCTATTTAATCACTTAGAAATGCATATTCATTATTATTAACTAATTTAGAAATGTATTCATATAGTTATCTATCAATCTTATAATTTTATTGCAAATCATTTAATTTCTAACAACCATAAATTTAATTTTAGGAATAAAACTTTACAAAATTTGGAATCATATCCTCATATTCATTTATAAGCATAAGTTTAATACCAACTCTACTTATAAATGAATCATAATTTAAAGTGAAATATTCATTAATACATATAAATTTACTATCAATTTAACTTTAAGTTAAATGATTAAATTTTATATTTAAATCTCCTAATTTAACATCTTTCAATTAATTAGCAGCATTTTTCTTACTAGAATAAACAGTTATTGTTAATTCTTAATAAGATTGTATTTCTACTGCTAAAAATGATTATACTAATTAACATGATAATTCTATCATATAAATAAATATTACTCTTTTTATCAATTTGTTCAGGATTTGTTTGATGTGTTTTTCCATTTAATTTCAAAACAAAGTATAGAAAAATAGTATCATTGCCTGCTGGTTTTAACAATTAAGAAATATTTATGATGATCTCTCTAATTGATATCATACAAGTAATCTATTTTTATTTTTCTTCCTACTCTTTTTCTTTCAATATTGCTTATTATTAAACCAAAGGTATTTTATATTTATTTAATTAGCATTTCAATTTAGCAACTCCAACAAATAAACCAAATGAGTTTGTTAAAGCAAATTCACCTTCTATTTATCCTCTAAGTAATTGAGTTTACATTAATTCACATTTTCCAATAAGATTTTAAGTATTACTTGACACTTAAATTATCATTTATTATGCTGATAATTTTTAAATCAATTCATTATCAACTTATAATTACTTTTCTTCATTTATTATAATTGTCTTTTACCCTTATTATTTAGATCTATAATTAATAATAAAGATAATTACATTTAAGCAGTAAAATTAACAACTGAATATATATCCACCTTAATAATTTTATCTTCAAATTTAAGTGCCTTATCATTTAAAGTTACTTCAGCATATATATTTAATCCTACTCTTTTAGGTAAATGAATTTCTTGATGAGTTTAATTATGACTAGATAATAATTCTGGATTAGATGAAAGTTATTATTAAGTTATCTTCTATCTCGAATAATTTATATTGAAACTAAGTTTAGCATTTATAGGCATAAATACTAACACTTTATCTTTAATCAGATCTGTATTTCTATCCATCCAACTGACTATCTCTTAACTAGAAAGGAATGTTTACGCCACACTTTATTCATCATTCTTTAATCTAAAATAGATTCCACCTTCTATTGAATCAACTACATCAATAAATTTAGTATTTTGTTCAATCTATTAGATATAAGTATAAGTAGATTCTGAAGGACATTAATATTAAGTTTATTTTGAATAAATTAAAGGATATGATTTTATTATTTATTCACATAAAGGATATTTATATTCTACACATAATTAAGTACCATAAGGAATTGATAATTTCAAATTTTAGATCTCTTTTAAAGTGATATTAAATTTATGAACATAAAACTCAAGATTTTTATTCTCTTAATTTTAATTTTCCTTATCTTCCAATTCAAATTATTTAGGTTTCTTTTAAATAATAGGAGGTTTAACTTCCTCCTATTTTATTTAAAACCAATCTTATAATAGAGATTTCTAAATCTCCCAATCTTATAATACAAAATTATTGTTCTTAATTTTTATAAATCTAAATATACAATACACTTCCCAAAATGATATATTGATTAAACATTAATTAAACATTTCTTATACTTCTTCAATATTTAGACTTAATTTTGTCACTTCATCTAATTGGATTGTTTATGCTTTCTATAATATTGAACTTTAGATAGATAAACAATACCAAAATTCATTAATCTCATCTAATTTTACATAATTAAATTAAACAAACTAACATGTTAATTCATATAGTAATTTTATTGAAACTAATCTTCTATCATGAGATTGTCCCAAAAAATATCCAAAGAATTCAAAATCAAAATCAGGAACATATTATTCTAATTTTGATCTTTCCATAATCCCACAATCACTCTTTAATAAAATTTTACCTACATATTCAAGAGGATCCTATTTTTAATCAATTAAATATTAAATAAATTTCTTTATCTATTTATTTACTTCTACAGATATTCTAGGTTTAAAAATATTAAATGCTGTTAAACTATTTAGTATATGTTCTTTTTTTATTGAATGCTAATTCTTAAAATCAAAGATTCTTATAAATATAAATAGAGATTCCTCATTTAAATTAATAAATTATAGCTATTCAATATTAAAAAATTGACCTTTTGGAATATTTTTTTACAATTAATTCTCATTTTTATTTAAATATTAAAAGACATCTAGTATTGATTAATGTTTATTATCAAATAATTCAAAATTAAATTATTCATATCTTTCCAAAAAAGTTAATTCTCTAGGAATTTCTTCAATTTAAATTTCTTAATCAACATTTTTCTTTTCCTATTATGGTTCTTCATATTGATTTCCTACTTCTTAAATGCTTTTTGTATATATATTTTCTATTTTGATTTTGTTTATCTATCCTGGAATACCAAATGCAATTATAACATGGATAAAACCAACTTATTAAGAATCTCTAATCTTTCTAATTGGATGTTATTCATCTGATATTATTAAAGGATAGATATTCTTAAATATATTTGCATTGAATTCTTAATCTTCATTAATCAAAATTTCATGAATTGATTTTAATGGTATTCTAATCATACCTAATAACTCTTTCTCCTTCCAAACTTCAATAATAAAAGGAGCAGTCTCAATCTTTTCAAAAGATTCAAAATTTAGTGGTGTGATAATCTAATAATTAAGATAAATTGAATCATTTAATTATGATTAAAAAAAATCATTTGAACCAGGTATTTTAAATCTGCAATTAATTTTATCTACTCCTACTACTTTACCTAATCTAATCAATAAAGTTGGGTTAAATGAATGATAATGATAATAGATTGGTTTATCTATAAAATCTTATTACTCCTAATTTTTAATTAAAGATGCTTTTAATCTAATCTCACCAAGTCTATTTTATTATTGAATTTAATATTCATTTAATAAATCTTTATTTACTACACTATATTATAAACCAGAATTTTGTGAAATGTTATTTCTGTCAAATGGCAAATTTGTATTAATTATTACATAAAATTCTTCATTTTAAATTGCTTTAATTATTTAGAAGTATCCTTCACCAAGTGTTATTTTAAAATACTTTTAATCATCAGAATTTTCAGGTTTTCTATAACATTAAATTAAAAATTTAATTTAATCAGCTTAAAAATCATCAAAAGAAGATTCATTAATATATATTTCAAATTCTACTATCTCATTTATTGAATATAAATCAGATCCTTATGATTTAAAAAATGTTCTTTTTTGTTAATTCTTAAATTAGCAATCAATAAAAATATTATTCAAATTTATAGCATTCAATTTCTATTAAACTTATTAAGTATAAGCATGAAAATCAATTAGTTGTAGTTTTAATTTTCTATAAGAATCAAAAGATTTATTATATACAAAATTTTATGTTGTATAGTTTTAAATAGGAGTATTGACTTCCTCTTAAATAGTTTGAACTCCTCTAGTCTCTATTTGATAAGTTGTTTTCACTTATAAGGGTTTTTGGGCTGGTTCTTATTGTGGAAGGATTTCTTTTTATTTATTTTAATTTTTTTCTACATTTTCAACAGGTGATTAATTTCGATTGGATTTAAATTTAGGTGGATTAGGTTTAGTATTTTCTGGCTTACTAGCATATCTATATTAAGTAGGAGAATTATTATAATGGCCACTATTTGGTTTAGAGTTTCTAAAAGGTTCTTATTATTTTGAAATGGAATTACTTTTCTTATTACTACTATTATTATTATCTTATTAATTTTATTAATTAGATACAGAATCAGATCGTTTCTATTTTTAAGGACAACAATTAATACAATGAACTGAATTTAATATTTATTCTATTCTATTTGAAACATCATCAACGAATTTTACATTACCTTAAACTTATGTTTTTTATCCGCTTAAATTTTAATCTTATTTGGAAGGACTTATTTTTTAGATTGAAGCATCATTATTTACATTTTAATAGTTTTAATTTGAATTACTTTAATCATTCTAATATTAATTTATAGTAGATTCAGGATCAATATAATTATTTCTTTCATAAAGGTTATTTGGATTGATTTCAATATTTTTTTGGAATGGATTATTAGCAAATAAAACATTTGCTAATTTTTAATCTGGATTTTATTATAACCAAGCTTCATTTTCAGTTGGAAAAATAACATTAATTTAAGGATATTAAGTTTATTTATTAGATTATTATTATTATTATTATTATTATTATTATTATTATTATTATTATTATTATTATTATTATTCTTTTATCATGATTTGTTATAATTATTACATGTTATTTGATTGATTTAATTAAGAACATAATTCTATTTGTTATTATATTAATAAAAATTTTGAATTTACTTCTATATTTTGATATCCTATTTTATATTCCTTATTATCAGGCATTTCTGGAAAATATTTATATATTGGATATTATCCAGAAATATTATGAAAAACTTAATTTTTTGATAAGTCTTTATTCAAATGTCTAGCAAAATTAATGATTATATAACCAAAAATTTAAAATTTATCCTCTGAATCCACAAGATAAATAATTACTTTTTCAGCTTCATTCAAATATTTATGAAATTGAATAATTGGTACTCTAATATCATACTTCAATTCATTAGGGTAATGCAAATTTTAATTTAATGCTTATATTAATAATCCATCTCCTTCTTAACCCCAAAAGCAGAGACGATAGACTAAATTTCCTTAATGAGGGTTTGAATCTTGAATCCATTAGACTTTACTCATTTTAATACAAAATTCTCCAAATGATTTATCTGACCCTTTGTCAGTTCCTGGTGGTAGAATGGCTGTACTTTGAATCATTTATCTAATTTGTTTAGGTTTAATCTTTGGTGGCATTTAATTCAAATTTTGTTGTTAATTTAATATTAAATTGCATAATACATAAATTTGCAATATTA